GGTGAGAAGTGGGGGCTCTGGCCCGGCTATTCAGTGATGAGGCTGTGGAATGAGCGCTGGGCACAGCGCCCGAGTCAGACTGCGGAAACGTTCCTTGCTGCCTTCCTTCTGAGAATAGCCGGGGACTGCCTGGACCTGAAGGGGTCCTGCGTGTCTGAACTTACCTCCGGCCTCATGCTTGACCTGTGCTGACTCAGTGACCTCTTTCCAGGGTGGCTTTGTCCATTACGGTGAAGTGACCAACGATTTCGTCATGCTGAAAGGCTGTGTGGTGGGAACCAAAAAGCGAGTGCTCACTCTCCGCAAGGTGAGGCAGGTCTTTTGGAGGAGGGGAAGAAGGTCGTGAACATGAGCGACCCAGACACAGGCTGAGCTTCGTTAGCGGAGGGGTGTTCAAAGGAAAAGGGGGCTGCTGCTCCTTTAACTTCGTCTTTGAAGTCCTGGGAGGAGGAAATTCCAGTCTGGCCCAGTTAGTTGCTGCTGTACATACTCACATGGGGTGGGGGGCAGCTCCTGGCATGCAGTCTGCCAGACAATGAGCTGCGGGTGCAGGGAGGCAGCCTGGTTTCCACAACAGGCCGATTCGGGTTTTGATCCTGTCCTCGGGCCTGTGAGATAAGTTGGTGCAGGGAAAGGCCTGCCCTTCCTAACCAACCCCCTGCTCTTGGCCCACAGTCCTTGCTGGTACAGACCAAACGGCGGGCCCTTGAAAAGATTGACCTGAAGTTCATCGACACCACCTCCAAGTTTGGCCACGGCCGCTTCCAGACAGTGGAGGAGAAGAAAGCATTCATGGCGAGTACCTCCCTGCCTGCTCTCACGCTGGGGTCGGGGTGGCTCCCGGCTACTGTCACTTGTCCTGTCAATTGCCCATCTAGGGCTGGAGAGGATGGTCCAGAATCTGATCTCATTAGGGTATGGCTTACTCTTACTGATCACTTGTTTTCCTCCATCTCTTACCTTGTTTTCTGTACCTTCCTCCACAGGGACCACTTAAGAAAGACCGAATTGCAAAGGAAGAAGGAGCTTAATGTCAGGAGCAGATTGTGCAGCTGGTGGGGTCTCAATAAAAATTATTTTCTAGTGACATCTGCCTCTGACTTACTTTTCCCAGTCCTGGCTTCTTCCACATGGGCCTGGCACTCCCAGAGGCATGCTGCCCTCAGCCTCACTTGATCTCCTTTGCCCCCGCCACTTGGCTGGCCCCAGTGCCTGGAGCAGACTGGGGGTGGGGGTGGGGCAAAAGCCGAGCCTGGGTCAGCCCCTGAACTTTTGAAGCCACCCTGCAGCTGTGAGCTGTGCAAGATGTTCGTCACCGGGGTGAGGCGGCTGGGGCTCGGCTGTGGAAGTGTTTGCACAGCTTGGGTGGCAGCTGTGGGGATGGGAAGGAGGCAGTGAGGACTTGCTGTTCCCTGATGCTTTTGGTTGCTAATGGGCGTGGCAGGGCAGACCCTGGGTCTGCTCAGTGTACACATAAGTAGGTACTAATCCACGCAGGAGCGGGATCCAGTTAAGGCTTGTTTTGGTTCTTTCGTAAACTGCAGCCCAGTTCTGGCGCTGGGAGAGGACAGATGGAGAGGGGCTGTCATGCAGAAGGGTAGCACTGCACCTGAACTGGGAGGGAAACGCTTGAGTGTTCACCTGCAGGAAGGTGGCTTGTCTCACCCAGCTTCCCTGCATGTGGAGGTTAAATGCCTTATCCAGGCCCACCCAGCTGGGTCAAGGCCTTGGACCCTTTCTGGCTTGCGTCTGCCTGCAGGAGGTGCTTACCCTGTTCTGTGCTGACCAGCATGTTCAGTGGACACTAATGTGTCCAGGATCAGGGACACCAGAATCTATGTTTTTTTTGGTTGCTCCAAGCTCAAAACAGCTAGGCCTCTGATCTCTGACCCTTTGGGGATTGGCGTGGCCTCAGCCCCAGTGCACTTCCTGGCATTCCAGTTATGCAAGATGGCCCTGTTGATTCCCCATTTATTCCCAACCAAGGCTGTTATCCACGTCTGGCCGTGTGGCATGTTATGCCTCAGCAGCCCTACCCAGCTGAGGGCAGAGACCACAGCTGGAGAAGCTCGGACTGCCCTCTGCAGCAGTCTGGCAGCTGGTAAGACCGATCACCTGGCCTCTGGTCCCTCTGATCCTTTAACGAAAAAGTGATAGCCAGGGGCGGACTGAGGTCCCATTATGTGGTGCTGTCTCAAGGATGATTAGAGGTGGCCCAAGTTGTCCCCATTAAGGCTTTAAAATGTAGGTCAAGGTTCAGCGGAGAATGCAGATGTGGGTGCTGAGGAGGAGGTAGGGTGAAGCTTGAAACTTGGAGTGCACTGAGCAGGAATCCTTAGCCTGCCCCCTATTGTCCTTCCAACATCTTTGGAGCTCCTAAACTCTGGGATCGGGGGAGTGGGCCGAAACAGCTGCTTCCGCCCTAATGCAGGGAAGACTACAGTGCCTCCCATAGCGCCATCCAGGCCCCAGAGTCGCTGGAGCTGCACTTTAGGATGCAGCCACCAGGGGGTGGGAGTGGGTGGCACCTGCTGGGCCAGCCCCTCAGCCCTGTAGGAGAGTTGCTGTACAAGTGGCAGAGTCTTCCCCAACCAAGGTCTCAGGTCCCCCACTGCTGCGTGAAACCCACAGCCAGAGCGGGTCGGGGCTTGTCCATGGCAGAGCCAAGCGTGGGGCCTGGGCTCTGCTGCGAGAGTCTGTGTCCAGTCAGGTCCTGAGGAGGACCCTGAGTTGGGCAGGGGGTCCATCTCATTCTCTTGCTCATGCCAGTGGAATCAGCTCCATTCAAGAACTGCGAGCCGCTCTGGACCAGCACGCCTCCGGGTGCTGGGAGCAGCGGCAAACTCAAAGGCCCTAGTTGGGGGTGGGTGGCAGTATAAACACAGGTAATCGAGACAGTTTTAGAAGGGATGAATGCTGTGAAGAAATAAAACAGGCCATGGATAAAGTGATGGGTGGGTGGGGAAGCCTCTTTGAGACCCAAGAGTGTGACGGACCCAATCTGTTGGAGCTCTACAGGGAGAACAATGTAAGCAGAGGGAGCAGCGGGTGCAAAGGCCCGGAGGTAGGAATGAGGCTCTGGGCTCAGATTCTGGGGAGGCAGCTCCCCAGGGGAAGGTCTGTGAGGCAGGACTGGATCACCCCTGCCTCCCTGGCCAAGGCCTGGCATACAGTAGGTGCTCAGTAGATGTTACTCCCCGTGTCTCTGGGACTTGCCAATGCTTGCGCATGTGTCTGGGTGTCCAGATGAGGGTGCTCAGGCTTCTCTGAGGGCCTGCGGTCGGTGGGGCAGCTGTCTCCTGCAGTCTGTGCCTGTGCGTGTCACTGAGCGTGCATCTCAGTGCCTGTTGGTGTGTGCTTCCTGTCACCAGAACCCCCAGACAGGCTTCACTGGAATCCTGTGGTGACAGAACAAGGAGTCTCATTCCATTCCTCCTGATTTAAAAAAAAAAAAAAAACAACAAACCTGCTGGGAATTTCTGAGCAAGTGGAAACAAGGAGGTGGCGGGAGCCGCCATCGCCTTAAAAGGTAGTGACAGCTAGTGACCTCGATGAGCTCACCTGGGGATGGCCTTGGGGGGTTGGGAGTGGGCAGCTGGCTGCCGCCTCATGGGCTCACCCCAAAATGCTCTCTCCTGGATCCTCACTGGCAGCCTTGCCA